TAGGAATTTATTTTATTTAGGATATCCAATTTATTGGCATGCAGCTGTTTATAGTATTCTCCTAAGAGCCTTTTTATTTCTATAGCATATGTTGGATTGTCTCCTACAGTTCTGATTTTAGTTAGGGTATTTCTTAGTCTAGCTGAAAATTTGTCAATTTTTCTAACTTTTTTTGGAGAACAACTCTTGGTTTTGTTGACTTTTTTCTATTGTATTTGTTTTGTTTATCTCTGCTCTGATGTTTCCTTCTTTCTGCTAGCTTTGGTTTGTTCTTAGTTTAAAAAGTTCCTTAAGGTTATAAAGTCAGATTGTTGATTTGAGATCTTTCTTCTTTTAGCATAAGCATTTCTAGCTGCATGTTTCCCTCTTAGCACTGTTTTTGTTACATCCCACTGTTTTTACTATGTTGTGTTTTCATTTTCCTCAAGATATTTGCTAATTTTTCTTGTTATTTCTTCTTTGACCCATAGGTTGATTGTTCAGAGAGTGTGTTAATTTCCACTATGCTGTTGATTTCTAGTTTTACTCCATTGTGATCAGAAAAGAAACTTTGTATGAATTTGGTCTTTTAAAATGTTATTGAGACTTGTTTTGTTTCCTAACATATGCTCTATCCTGAAGAATGTTCTGTGTACACTTGAGAGAAATGTGTATTCCCCTGGTGTTGGGTGGAGGATTCTATGCAGTGTCTTGGGCCCAGGAGGTCTGTAATGCTGTAGTCCTCTGTTTCCTTGTTGATCTTCTGTCTGGTTGTTCTGTTGACTTAGCCTTTAACAAGATCCTTCTGGCCACGTTAAGATGAGCCTCTAGGAGGCAAATGCAGGGAGACAAGTGAGAGGTTACAGTGTCAATCCAAAACAGATGCGGCTCAGACCAGGGTCACTTGGACCAGAGAGGTACCGTTGGGGGGATGTCGGTTTGGAGATGCAGGGAAATCATAGTACAAGGTGAGGAAGGAATGCATTAAAGTGAGAGTGTTAGGGAATGACAGCATAGAATAGTAAAGGAAGGTCATGAACAGCTGCTCAGCATAGGGCACCACCCCTGCTAACTCCTCAAGCCAGTGTTACCCGGCATCCAGTGTCTGCTTGGATCTGCATGGTGTGAGAACTGAGTCCCTACCACCCCAGAGTTTTGGGAGCTGCAGAGCTCTGGATGGAGTGAGATCATGTTCTGCAAACTTCCTACAGGTCAAGAAAGAAGACTTTCAGGCAGGCTACTGAAGAGCATGACTGTAAGCTGCAGTTCCCGGTCACCTAGGCGAAGGTAATTTGCAAGCCCAGATCTGAGCTCTCAGTAGCACCTCCCTAGTTGGGACAGAGAGAGTGAAGGTTTGAGCTGAAATCTGCAGGATTATAATGAAAAAGCAAAGTAACAAAGACACCTTCACTGGAAAAGTGCAGAGACAAGACGTTGAGGTTGAACAGTGAGAAGTTTACCTAAAGCAAAAAGGAGCTCACTGGATAAGGGGTGTGTGTGGGCTGCCCCAGAGAAGAGGCGCTCCTAAAAGGTTGGTAAAAAGTTAAAGGTACGCACTTCGACAGTGCAGGCGACCTCAGAGAGAGGAACACCCTGTAAGGTTGAGGGTTCCCTCTTTTAAGGATTTTTCAGGAATGTGACAAAGGGCTGTGGTTGCAGACTTGGTAAGTGGTCCCAGAGTGTTAAAATGAACTTAACACAAGAAATTTACTGCTCTGATTTCTCACTGAAATATGGAAGCCTTGGTCTGGGAGTTTTCAAACAAGACTGCCTGCCCTGCCCCTGAGGTGGGCTGAGTTATTGTCTGTTAGCTAAAGAGTATGTTAAGTATCTTACTTCTTACCTTCCTGGGTATTAAAAGGCAATCTTATCTTTAAGATGGAATCTTTCTTGCTTTTACTATGTTGTTTATGGCTGTGCTTGCTTGCCATATATTGCCCAGGTTGTAAATTACTTGATTAGGGGCTGGAGGAGAAAAAAACAGCATATAGGTTAAGTTAAAGAAGAAGCTGGGGTTTTTAGGAGGCTAAAGTAAATCTTAAAATGGCATGATCGAAGTGACACGATAAAGACACGGCTATGCCTAGGAACCCTCCTTTATCTGGGGAATATTCAGACATTCCAGGCCTAGGTACTCCTGGCTTTTTGAGCTTTAACTGATTAATTCATTAACTCTGTGAGTCTTTCCTGGGTTTTTTATTTTAAGTGATTAACTTTTTGAGTGTCTTTTAGTGGGCTTTCCTGGCCTTATTCTCTTTCCATCCTGCTCATATCTATTTTCCTGCCCAGCAGTATTGGTGAAAGGGATGAGAAACGGACTTAGTGTATTTTGACGGCAGACCCAGTGTACTTTGCTCACTCTTTACAAGTTGGTATTTACTACGTAAAGGAGTTTTTCCAAAGTCCTACAGCTCATAAGTGGCTGAGCTAGGATTTGAACCAAGGCCTGTCTGGCCCCAAATTCTTAGCTCTTAGTTAACCACTGTGCTGCTCTGAAAACTCTCCTGACCAGGGTGTCTGGAAACCCATTCCCCCCACCGCCCACTGCCTCCCTGATAGTTCACTATCACCCACTACTTAGCCTGAACTCATGCCCCACTGCCCCTCTTTTCCCCAGCAACATCCAGGTCTGGGTGCTTGGCAGCCTCCTCCTGTCAGGTGCTCTGACACTGGATTATAAACCAGCATCACTGTGTCCTACCTCAGGGGAGCAAAGAGGAGGGAGGCAGGTGTCTAGGAAGGGGGAGGGGTGGACAAACACTCTGAGACCGTGTGGGCCTAATGGTATGTCACAGAGGAGCTCAGCCCCTGGAGTTCGACAGACCTGAGTCTAAGCTTTGACTCTGCTGCCTACCAGCTGTGTGACTCTGGACAGGTTATACCACCTCTCTGTGCCTCTGTCTGCTCCCTTCGCAAATAGGGGTGGTAATGCTGCTGCTCTGTTTGCCCATGATTATGGTGGCAAAACATGTTTTCAGCTAGAGTATTCTACCAAAACAGAAGTTGATTCTGATCCTTCAAGCCATTCATTCCTGAAGCAGAACGTTATTGAGCACCTCGGATGTGCCCGAACCATCGCTGCAAAGCAGGGAGACACAGTGCTTATTACCCTCATGCGGTCCACAGCCCAGCAGGGAGGACAGTGTGTGTGATGAATTCAGTATAAATCTAATGGGTGTTATAAAAGCTGCTGCTGTGTAAACCCAAGCAAGGGAATTTAACCTCCAGAGCAGGTGATGGTTCAGCCAGGACCAGAATACTGAGGTTTTAGGCAGACTCATGCATGCATGCAGCTAACACTTATTGCAGGCACAGTGTGCCAGACTCTGTGCTCAGTACATGGTTTGCTTTAACTTGTTTGGTTCACCTTGAGGCCGGTGCTGTTCCTATACACCCTTTATTCAATGAGAGAGTTATGGTTCAGAGAGGAGATGTAACTTGCCTGAGAAAACACAGCTAGTAGCTAGAAGAGCCACCGTATGGCAGCTGGAGGCAGGCTGGAAAAAACCATATGTGGGTAAAATTATAATATTCCAGAATCTCTCACCTGGCTTTAGTGCATCTCCATATCAACAGGTGTTCCTCAGGGGTGCAGAAAAGTAGTTCATCTCCATATCAATGACAGCCCCAGGCTGCAGTTTGTAAGCAATAAATGGGTTTTAAACTTTACTTCTCCATTTGACTGATTTCGGTTTTAGAGGTATTTTGCCCCAGGATTTCCTCTCCCCAGAGTTACACTGTAATAGCTGGAAGTCCAGCTGTGCTTCTTCTCAGCTATATGGCCTTGGGTGGGCCAGGTTGCCTTCCTGAGCCTCAGTTTCCAATTCCATAAATGGGGTCAATTCCATGGACTTGACTAGGTAGTTTTCAGACTTAGAAATGCTGTCAAAGTCCAGGTTGGAGATTGCTGAGCTCAGAGGTCAGCTGTTGTTCACAGGAAGGGTGCTGAGTTGGGTGTGTGGGGCATGGGTGGTGTGCCAGCTCCGGGGTGGGCAGTGCCATGTGGTTTTCCAGAGAATGTGGCCAGGGATGCTCTGAATTGAGTCTTCCTCTCCAGGAGGCAACCAGAAGGAAGGGGGAGAGGGACATCAAGAGCCTGAGACCGTCCTCGGGTGGGGGCATTGATATGCTGGCCTGGCTGAGTCCTCAGGGGCTGCACGGCACCCAGGAAGGGAGCAGAGGCCCACTGAGAGGGGTGGGCTCAGGACTGTGCCCCATCGTCCCATCACAGACCTGGTGTTGTAGACCTGGGACCTGCCTCTGAGTTGATCTCTTCTGGCCTCCTCACTTCAAGGTGGGGAAAGTGAGGCCCTAGAGAGGAGAAACTCTGTGAAAAGCTCTGCAGTGACTCTGGGTGGAGTGGGGCCCAGAATCTAGCAAAGCAGCAGGGTGTTCAGGTCCCCAGAGGTTCAGCCATGAGCAGAGGCACGGCTGCCCTTTCAGCGTTGTGTCCCTGTGCCTGGCACATCAGAGTTGCTCAAGAAAGCAGAAGTGCACGCCCAGCCTGGGGACCCACACTCAGGCTGGGACTTTGTCTGCTCTGGGCCAGCTCTACTTCCTGGAGCAAGTTGCTTCACTCACTGAGCCTCTGTTTGCCAAAATAAGATCACAAGCCCAGCTGGTAGGTGTCTGAGCAGAGATGTGAACTCAGATCCACCAGATTCCAGTGCTGATTCATCTCTCTACATGTTCCTGATTGTTTTATATGTCTGTTTCATGCATTCATTCATTTAGAAAATATTAATTGAGCCCCTACTGTGCACCAGGCAGTATTCTAGTACCCATGGATAAAGCAGTGGACAAGGAAAACAGGGTCCTGCCCCCTGAGAACTTATGTTCTAGAAGAGGGAAACAGACAGGAGCAGATAAACAGATGGGGTGGGACTAATGTAAATACACTCAAGGAACTATAATAGGGGCTGGACGGAGCAGAGGGAGAGGGCTGCCTTAGGTATGTGTCAGGGCAGGAGCTGACATTTCGTGTGACATCTGAGAAGACACCTGCCATGCAAAAAGCCTGAAAAGTGAATCCTTTAAAATGTGAAGCGTGGTACCGTCACAGGCCTCAGGCTTCCAGAAGACGCTGCGAGGAGGGTGTGGAAGGAGAGCAGTTACCCAAATCTCGCCAAGAGCCCGAGAAGGCTGTGAAGGGGGACGCAGGTCTTTGGGACGTCTGCACCCGGGTAGTGTTTCCCTGTCCCTCTCCCGCTGTCTTTGCCTTCCAGGTGAAGCAGATCATGGAGGAGGCTGTCACGCGGAAGTTTGTCCACGAAGACAGCAGCCACATCATCTCCTTCTGTGGTGAGTCTGTGGCCCGTGGCTGTGAAAAGTGGCTTCTCTCTCTGTGGGCTGCCTTGGGGAAGTGGCATCTTTTTTTAAAAAATTAAGGTATCATTGATACACAATGTTATGAAGGTTTCACTTGAGCAGCATTGTGGTTTCAACATTCGCCCATATTATCAGGTCCTCCTCCCCACCCCACTGCAGTCACTGTCCACCAGCGTAGTAAGATGCTATAGAGTCACTACGTGTGGGAAGTGGCATTTTTGAACAAGGGTGCTTATGTCATTTTTTTGCTTTGTAACTCCAAAGTTATTTTCAGATTCCAAGGGGACTCCCTTAGGGAATTTGAAAATATAGAAAAGTCATGAGAAGTAATTAGGAACGACATCTGCCCCCATGAAGAGGTAACCATGCTTAACTCTGGAGGGACTGCCTTCCCTTCCGTGGCCTCAGTTCACACTGACCACATCCACTTGGTCATTGGTCTTGCATCCAAGAAATGGGCTCCATGTCCTCTCTTTACTCTACCTATGGCTGCCCAGGTAAAGGAAGAGGATGGATAGGGCCTTTAAAAATTGTATGGCATTAAGAGCCACTGACACATCCCGAGGAATCATGTCCAGCTCGCTCAGCAAAGGAGTTAGGCCTGGGCTCCAAGTGTGACTCGGACTTCTCTCCTTGCACTAGCTTTGCTCACGAGGTCCCAGAAATGACCATGCTGCCAGGTTCATACTGTACTTTGACAAGGGCTAGAGACGTGTGTTTTGTGTGTCCCCGAAGTCAGGATCCAGCATCTAAGTTTCTTTCTCCTTGAAATACTTTATTTCATCACTGGAGTGTCTGATCATGGAGGCCATGCTGTAATTCCCCCCTCGTGTCTTGACCCCACAGAGAGGCCGGAGTGAGGAGACCTGGCAGGGCAGTGAGCTTCGGTCCAGATGGCTGGGGGCACCATCCATGGTCCTGCAACATGCTGAGCACACGTTGTGACCTGGGAGCCCCCTGACATCAGTTCAGCCTCTTTGCAGCCAGGCAGACTGGGGTCAAATCCCAGCTGTGCCACTTTTTTATTGAGTGACTTTGGCAAGATTTTATTTTTTTAAGTGAGATATATGATACATGTATTTAAAAAAACTTTTTATATATACTTAAGCATTTAAAAGATTTAAAATATTTTATGTATTTATAAATATGTATATTTAAATAAACACATATACACGTATACACATACAGGCAGACCTCATTTTATTGAGACATGCTTTATTGCACTTCACAGAGTCTGTGTTTTTAAAGAATTGTTTTGTGGTAATGCTGCATTGAGCAAGTGTCAGCACCATTTTTCCGACAGCATCTGCTCTCTTTGTGTCTCTATGTCACATTTCACTAATTCTCACAATATGCGAGACCTTTTCGTCGTTATACTTGTTACGATGATTTGTGATCAGTGATTAAGACTTGACTCACTGAAAGCTCAGATGATGGTTAGCATTTTTTAGCAACAAAATATTTTTAAATTAAGGTGTGTACACTGCTTTTTAAGGTACAATGTTATTGTACCCTTAAAAGACTGCAGTATAACCCAAACAAACTTTTACATGCCCTGGGACACCAAAACCTTCACTGGACTCACCTTATTGCAATATTCACTTTACTGTGGTGGTCTGGAACTTAACTTGCAGTATCTCCAAGGTCTGCCTATCTATATACATTTGCACACACATATGCAGACACTTCAATGTGAGTATGAGAATATATGCCCAATTTTTTTCTACTGGACATTTTTATTTGCAAATAAAATGATATGCATGTCTCCTCCAGGACTTGCTAACATACCTCCCAATTAAAGACTTAGAGGTGTACGAAGTGATAAAAATCATAATAATTCTCTAACTCCGATCAAAGTCTTTCGGCAAGAGAAATTTGATGGCACTAAATGAGGCCTGAAGGCTCTGCCTGAGGTTTCTTTAATCCCTTGTTCCTTCTTAGTCATTGTCAGAAAGAACTGGGCGATGTCTACAAAGCCTGGAGAGATAATTACTACAGTATGAACAGATGAAAAGTACTGTATGTGTAAGCAAGAACGAGGATCTTTGAGAGATCTGCACCCAGAATAATTTAAATCCACAGGCAGGTTAGGCAGCATGTGAACATTCATTCAAAGCCAAGTAGTTGCTAACAAAAGCAGTACCCCAAAACCTCTCAATATTCCTCTTTACACATATCATAACCTTGGCCAGGCTCTTAACCCTTGAAGTGCTGCTGTGCTCTTTTATGGAATGACCATAACTAATATACTCAGTTCTGGGGTTTTGTCCTAGGTTTTTAGGTAAGGTAAACCTTAACACTAGTCTGACACCCAGCAGGTTTCCAATGAGTAATAGCTCTTGTTACATACAGTTAACTCTTGAGCAACATGGATTTGAACTGCATGGGTCCACTTATACCTGGATGTTTTTTCAATAAATATATTGGAAACATTTTTGGAGATTTGCAGCAAGTTGAAAAAACATTTTCTTCTCTGTAGCTTACTTTATCATAAGAATACATTATATAATACATAAACAAAATATGTGTTTACCAATTGTTAATGTTACAAGTAAGGCTTCCAGTGAACAGGAGGCTGTTAGTAGTAACGGTTTTTGGGGAGTCATAAGTTATACATGGATTTTTGACTACAGGGGGTGGGGGAAGTGCTCCTAACACCCACATTCTTCAAGGGTCAGCTGTACTCAATTTTCCCATAAACATTGATTATGCTCCTTTTACATACCAGAGTGAGCTCCCAGTCTGGTGTGTAAGCCGGGTAAGATACAGGTAAGATTCTTAACAGAGGGCTGCCCAGAGTACCGGAAATAAGATAGGGGCTATCGGAGTGGCCTGCATAGAGTCTTCTTCCCAGAGGGGAACTCTGAAGGCCAGAGAGGAAGAGTGTTTTGCCTGTGGTCACACAGCAAGTTAGTCGTAGAGCCTAGGCTACAACCTGGGCATCCTGATTGGAGGATGGCTAGGCAGGGCCTCTAGGGAAAACACAGAAATGGGAAGATTATTACTGAGTTCTCTCTTCAAATGTCCTTTATGGAAGCACAGTGTAGTTAGCACACCCTGGGCTCCGCTAACCTGGATTTGGAGCCCGGCTTCACCGCTTATTTGCCAGGCAGCCCTGGGCAATTCAGTTCACCTCTGAGAGCCTCAGTTTCCACATCTGAAAAAGGGGCATGGCTTTCCTTTCTTCCCTGGCTGTGGCAGAGATTGAATGAGACCCATAGTGCTAGCTGGCACTGGAATTACAATAGTAATGACAACGATGTGGTTCCTTAACCGGGGCAAAGCTCAACAGAGCTGGGATCCAGTCGCCTCTCCCTGGTGGACGGGAGGAATAGCTGACGTTGGCAAAGCACTCACTGTGTGGCAGGCTCTGTGCAAAGTGCTTTCCATGCTTTTTTCCTACCTCATCCTAACAGAAACCTTGTGAGATCAATGTTCTTACCACCCCTATTTTACAGTCAGGAAACTGAGGCATAGGGAGGGGCAGAAGTTGCCCACAGTTGCACAGCTGGTTAGCGGCTGGCAGAGGATGTGCACAGAGATGTTCTGTCCTCGGGCGGTGAGCTGGGTTAACCACTAAGCTCTCTTGCTGTCTTTTGAGGGGGTGGAAGGTAGAGAGGCATACATGCTTTTCCCTAGGATGCTGTCACCCGTTTTGTGATTGTGGGGCCCCCAGATCCTCAAGGCAGCCCTGTGTGACTGAGCTGGGCTGGGTGCTGGAAGCACAGGCAGAGCAGAACCTGCTAACCACTGTGTCTGTGCAGCGGCTGTGGAGGCCTGTATCCTACAAGGGCTGCGGCGGCGGGTGGCAGGTTTCCTGTGCAGCAACAAGGTTGCAGCTCTCTTCATGAAAGTGGGTAAGAGCTTCCCGCCTGCTGAGGAGTTGAGCCGCAAAGTCCAGGACCTGGAGCATCTGATCGAGAGCACGTGAGTGTGGAGTTCGGGGTGTGGGTGGGGGCACTCCCTACCCCAGAGGACAGCCCATGCCTTCCCTGAGCCTTTTAGAAGCCTGTGCCTCCTCGTGTGCCCCCCTTTGTCCTTTCTCCTCCTCAAAACTGCCAGACTCTTTCCTACCCCAGGGCCTTTGCACATGCTGCACCTACCACCAGGTTCACACCCTTCATCTTCCATGGCTGGTTCCTTGGTGTCATTCAGTCCTTTGCCTAGCTAAGGGTAAATTCTAACCCTCACCCCATTTCTCTTCCGTATCGCTGTTTATATTCTCCCATGTTTTCAGCACCATCTGTAATTCATATTTTTGTTTACTGTTTATGTAATTATGCATATCTTTGTTTACTGTTTATTTGATTCTAATCTGTTTCCCTGATGACTCTAAATGCTATGAGGACTGGCAGCTATGTCTGTGTTACTCTCCATTATGTCCCCTCCATCTGGGACAGTGCCCAGCACGTGGTAAATGGCCAAGAAACAACTGTTGAATGAGTAAGTGCCTACTGGGAGCCAAGCCCTGTTCTAAATGCAGGACAAATCAAAGTTTAATGAAATCAATATGGTTTCCGATTGCATGGGCCAGTAGCTCACATTGAGGCAACCACTGGAGGGGAGACGTAGCTTCACTTACTTTTCTTTGTGGCTGATTTTACGTATCGGGGGGCAGCTCCTGGCCTGAGTGTGTGTGTACAGGAGTGTTTCCACCGGAGCCACCCCTGGAGTCCCAACTACACGGCCAAATCCCAGACCTGGAGCTTGGTAAGGGATGGCAGATAGGTTCCAATTCCAGTTTATTCTAGTGGCTGCCCCGGGGACTGTGTCGTGAAAAATTTTAGAGCTGATTTGGCTTCAAATGATTAGAATTCATGGGAAAGAGTGCATGGATTGATTAGCTATGTTTATTATGGGCAGGAGAATGGAGAGACAGGCATGCATGCCATGTGTTTGCTGTCTCTGCCGTGGGAGATCACTCCACTTCACAGGATGAGAAATGGCCCTTTCTTTGCCCTGCAGGCCTTGATGGCCTAGGGCTGCTGGCCAGAACTGCACGATAGGCTGGCCTCTGGGTTTGGCATTGCAAACTCCCATTTGGAATCTGACCCCTCAGCCACCTGGTCTTCTGGTACCTTCCAATCCTTATGCTAAATTCCCAGGTGTTTGCTGATAGCTTCTTAAAGGGCTGGAATTCCATGGCCCTTCCATAATATTGGGAGTTCCTAATGCATGAGCTAGAGGTGCCCATGCCAGGTGGTAAAAGAGAGCCACTCATTCATTCATGCAATCAGTCATTCAGGAACATACTTATGAGCCCCTTGTATATGCCATACACTGTGCTGGGCCCTGGAGATACAGACATGAAAAAGGCCAATGCTTGCCACATGGTAGATTCTGAAGTATTTTATTTAAAAAGGTAGTGAATTGCTTAGTCGTGCCCTCAAGGTCACATTGGGGAGGGGAAGACAGAAAAGGGATGAGGAAGTTACAGAGGAGGCTGAGGGAGCACAGGGGGGGCCCCTCCCCAGCTCTGAGTGGCCCAGGAGGGCTTCCTGAAGGGAGGGACGCCCTCACAGACCTGAAGAGTGAGGAGGGGCCAGCCTGGGAGTGGGCCGGGGAGGGAAACAGGGAAGAAGCAGCTCCTGGCAAGTGCTCAGGTGGGCGCCTGGCAGCCTCAGGGACCTGCAGATGTCTCTGGCTGCATCGTGGGGGGTCCAGGGAGGAGAGGAAGGGACGGCTGCAGAGGAGAACCGCGGCAAGGTCATGGCGCACTCTGCTTGTCATGTGGAAAAGCTTGCTCCTCGAGGGCAGTGGGGAGCCCCTGAAGGAGATAATCCAAGACTCTTCTTGGCCAGCACTCCTCTCCAGCAGAGAGAGAGAGAGAGAGAGAGAGAGAAATATGGAGAGAAATGTCAGTATGAGAAGCTGAGTTGCTCATCAACAGTGTATGGAAGTGTCTTTAGCCACATCTTCACATCCACTGGGTATTACTATTTTTCAACTCTTTACCCAGAGCAATATGGGCTTTCACTGTTGTCTCAGTTGCCATTCCTTCATTTTGTTGAGAAATTGAACATTTTCCCATTTGCATAGTGGTCCTGTGGGATCTCCTCTATAGTGAGTATCTATTCTCCTCCTTGACTGGTCTTGAAGGCGAAACCAGATCTAGGGCCTCCAGGAGAACGTGCAGAAGCTGCCGAAGCTGCCCAGTCTGTCCCCACTTGCCATCAAGCACCTTTGGATCCGTACTGCCCTGTTTGAGAAGGTCCTGGACAAAATTGTGCGTTACCTTGTGGAGAACAGCAGGTGAGTGGGACAGGCCAGACACCTATCTGGGCGTGCTCTACCTCCACCTGCTGACCCTCACGGGAATTACACCCTCTCACACAAAGCCACTTGATTTTGAAGTGATGAAATACAGGCCTTCTGGATGTTTGACTCTGACCTAGCTTAGTTTAGATTCTTGGGAAGATTTGGGTGTTTAATAGCAACACAGGGTCTTCATATTTGCGTTGGGATATCAGGATCTTGTAATCTTAGGGACCTTCCTTCTCCTGTGAATTAAGCCCACAGTCTATTTACCAACTATGGCCCTAAAAGAATCACTTAGTTTCTCTATGCCTCTGTTCCTTTTGGTAAATGGGATAGGGATTGCTGCCACTTTGGAGAAGAGTCAAGAAGGGGCATTAGTGAGAATAGCATTATGGAAATGAATAGTGATTTTTACATTTTCTCCCCCAGCTCAGATTAACCTGGTGTAAAGGTTTTATGAATCTTCTTGGCAACCATTTATCTATGCATGCATAAATTCATCCAATAAATACTTAATGAGTATCTACTATGTGATAGGCAGTAACATATGTTGGGGATACATTGGTCTTACCTGTCAGGTTAAAGAACTTGCATGTTATACCAAGAGCAGTGGGGCGCCATTGACAAATCCACTATCTGAGACTCCTCATGGCTAGCCCTCCCTTCCAGCCTGAGAGAGAAATATCAGAATCTCCCCATCTTTTGGTATATGAAAGTACCTATTTAACAACATCTTCACACACACTGGGGTTTATTGTCATCTTTTTTCTTTGCCCATTTGCTAGGAAAATATGTATGAAAGTACAGAACAGAGAAACCGGGAGGTTCACCATTGGTATAATACAGTTAATTAAGTGACAGGCTTTATTTGGATTTCACCAATTTATATATATAATTTTTTTCTATATGGTTCTATGAAAATTTTAATACATGTATTGTTTCATAGGACCAACACCACATTCAGGATTTAGAACTGTTCCAAAGGAACCCATCACCCTGAAAAAACTCCCTGGCACTACCCTTTAGAGTCACATCTTCCTCCCAACCCTTCCTGCTATTTTAAAGTGAGCCTTTCTAAAGTTTGTGATCATGTTACTGCTGATTTTAGGAACGGATGCTGAATGGCAAAATGGAAAGTGTCTTGAAGTAGTATCTTCAGATCTGACTGCAGAATGTGGGGACTTGATGTTAAGCATATCTAGGTGATGTCAGTTCTGCTTCAGCCAATATTCTGGTTGATAGAAGATGGCCTTGGAGTAAAATGGCAATGATGTGGCCACTACTTGTAAGAATTGCCTCGTGTCAGAGTCTGCTGTTGCTCTACACGCAGGTCAGCATTCAATTCTCCCAACAATCTGGTCAGGTGAGTTCTCGCACTCTCTTCATTTTACAACTGAGGACACCAAAGCTCAGAGAGGGTAATCACCCAGCAACACACAGCGAGGGAAGAGGTTGCAGAACTGGGCTCCCACTCAGTCCCTCTGACTCTAGATCCTGTGTTCTTCACTCCCTGTTGTAGGATGGGAAGAGCCAAGCTGGCTGGGTATAGCTTGCATCTACCTGCTGTGTGGTCTGCAGCAGTCTCTGACCCTCTCTGGGCCTGAGATCCCTTAGCATCAGAACTAAGTAATTTCCAACCCAAAATTCTGTTAGTATCTAGACTGTACAAGTTTTCAAAGAATTAGAAACTACACAACTCCAACAAAGGAGAACCAAAATCACCCAGCAGAAACATTGTATTCATGGGATCACATGTTGTGTGAAGAGTCAGAAGCTGGGGGGCATTTCTGAGCATGTCAGGCCAGTGTCATCCACATTAGGTATCTGGACAGGAAGGCCTGTTAATGCAGCCTTTGGGGAGACCCCACAGCTAAAAATTAACATTTTATTGGCTCAGTAACTTTAGAAGAGCAGACATGAGACAGGGACTGTGGGCTTAGAGTAGGGTGAGGGCCTCTGGGGGCTGCGGCCTAAAGACGGTTAATCCCAGTCAACAATGTAACAATGTGCAGAGAAACTCCTACCAAAACTCTGTTAAACATTAAGCAAAGTCAGAGTCACATTAGTTCTCTAGGGTAAAAATATCAAACTAGGAATATAGGCATTCTTCAGTGAAATTAGTTAAAACTAAAAAGCCAGGAGTAACTTGGCCTGGAATGTTTGAATATCCCCCAGGTAAGAGAATACCTCTGCACCGCCCATGTCTTCTTTGTATCAATTGAATCATGCCTCTGGGATTTGCTTTGGCGGCTGAGGGGCCCAGCTTATTTTGTTTTTACCCTACCCGGGTGTTGCTTTTCCTCCTCCATCCCTGATCAAGTGAGTAGCAATCAGGGCAATTGATTTGGCAAGCAAGCTCAGTCATAAACAAGGTAGTAAAAACAGGAAGGATTCCATCTTAAGGATAAGATTGCATTTTAAAACCCAATTGGTTATGTGGGGGGAACTTGGTGATGGTTAGAGTCTAGTAAACATAGTGTTCCTCATGTAATTGTAGATTAATGATACCAAAATAAAAAGAAATAAAAATAAAAAACCCAATTGGTTAAAAATAAATTTCTTAACATACTCTTTAACAAGCAGGCAATAACTCAGCCCACCTTGGGAGCAAGACAGACAGTCTTGACTGACATGCTCCCAGACCAAGAAGCTGCTATCCTGGGAGGAAATCAGAGCAGTAAATTTCTTGTAAATAACCGGAGGACTAATAAGAAACTGAATGTCTCTTCAAAGATAAACCTTTTGGTTCCACTTAACAGGTCTGCTTCCCTAGCCCTTTGTCTCTCAACCAGGTGTAAATCCCCTAGACAACACGCCCCCCCCCCCAACCGGTCTCATCCCCTCCAGGCACCAGGAGCTCTGTTCTCTCACTTTATTGCTGCATAAAAGCCTCTGTCTTGCTCTCCCACTTTGAGTGTTTGCAAAGTTCATTCTTTGACTCCACAAACAAGAACCCAGGCATCAATCTGAGCCTCTAAGTGACTTCCTGTCTGAAATGGAAGGTGCCTGTAGAAGCAGATGGTTAGTAGGGCCTCAGCAGCCTTCGAATTATTATTTCTGGTGCCCTCACTAAGGCTTGATCATAGGCCTGTATGAAGCACGTGCCAAGCGCTGTGCTGTGCACCTTACATCTGCTCTCCCTCCCAATCCTTCCCATAGGCCTATGGGATAAATGTTTGTTATCCCTATTTACAGGTGGGGCAGCTGAGGCTCCCAGAGTTAACTGGGAGGCAGGCAGGGGATTGAGCCCTCTCTGTTCTTAACCACCACGCCGCTGTCTATTGTGCGCCCTCTGTGGATCTTGATCCAAACCTACGTGTCCTTTCCTCTCTTGCAGTAAATACTATGAGAAGGAAGCGCTCCTGATGGACCCTGTGGATGGCCCCATCCTTGCGTCTTTGCTGGGTAAATGGTTTGGTGCTCTGAGCTTCACCTGGATCTCTGTTCTTGGCTCTGGGGGTGGGGGCACCTCCTAAGGGCCATTCTCACCTCCGTCTAGCCTCCTGCATCACACCTCACCGGTTCCCTGTCTCTTGCTCCCAGGATCTATGCTCGTCTCTCCTTAGTGGGATCCTGGAGCACCTTAGCTGGCAGGGGGCAGGGTTAGTGAAATAGGTGCCCCGTCTGGAGGTAGACGGGAGGCGGAATTGCTGTGGCCCTGGATTCCCAGCCCCCGTGTGCTCCGCAGTGGGGCCCTGCGCCCTGGAGTACACCAAGATGAAGACTGTGGATCACTTCTGGACCGACCCCTCGGCCGACGAGCTTGTCCAGAGGCACCGCATTCACAGCTCGCACCTGCGGCAGGACTCGCCACCAAGCGTCCGGCCCTCTGTGTGAGTGGGGTGAACGGTGGGCTCTTGGGGGGGCCTAAGTTCCAGACTTGCTGTGGAGGGGAAGAAGGGTGGGGGCCTTTAAGGTCGCTCCGGGCCTTGCCCTCCTCCTCCCTTCACACGGCCAGATACAGAAGAGGCATTCGAGTGGCAGCATGGATGACCAGCTGTCTCTCTCTGCCCGTGACTATGTCGAGTCCCTGCACCGGAACTCCAGGGCCACCCTGCTCTATGGCAAGAACAACCTGCTGGTCCTGCCGGTGAGAGTTCATCCTGGGCCCACCTTCCCCCGGGGGTCTGGCTCCAGGTTATGGAGGAGGGATTCCCTCTGGCTCCAGGTTGTCCATCCATCCTTCTACCCACTCACCCATCTATTATTCATTCATCTACTGACATCTCCATCTCTCCACCATATGACAGTATTTCCTTCTACCCATCCATCCATCCACATTTCCAGCCAATCAGCCAGCAATTCTCTTCCAGTCTCTACACCCAACCACTCCTCCATCTATGTATTCACCCATCATTCCTTTGTCCATCTGCCTCTATTTATATCCATCCATCCATCCATTTGTGTATTTTCCAGTCCCATCTTTACCTGTCCACCCAGTCTTCTATCCATTCATTCTTTCTTGCTATCACTTACTCATCTAGCAAACATTTATTCTGAACCCGCTAGATGCTAGATGCTTATAATATTAAGGTAAAAATCTCCACAGCTGATATTTATGGAGAGCTGCCTGTGCATCCAGCACCATGCTAAGTGCTTCTAACTGTGTTAACTCATTGAAACCTCACAATCAACATTTGAGGCAAATAGTAATATAGATGGTAACACTGAGGCTCATGCAGGGACAGTAAGGGGCAGAGTTATGATTTGAATCCGGGATGGCCAGAGTCTGTGCCATTCACCAGTCACCCTCTATGCCCCAGCATTGAGCCAGGCCCCTGGCGGGGGTGGTGAGCGGGGCACATGAAACCCCTCTCCTCATGTGATGCCTCCTTGGCCGTCTCCTCCCTGAGACCATTTGGATCAGGGTGGGGTTTGGGCTCAGCTGGGAGGAAGCAGAGGGCGGACTGTCGGCCACCCCAGCTCTGCAGTCACAGCTGTGACCGCCGGGTGACCCTGAGCAAGTTGCTTTTCCCGCTGAGCCTTAGGACCCACATCACAGTGGGCACCAGACTGTGTCCTTAGACCTGAGACGCTGTAAATTAAGATGCTCCATTTTTAAACATAGCATCAGGAAATTAAACATTATATGCAATGTTTTCTCAATGCCTGGAAATTTTATTTTACACTTTTTGAAGGGGCTTTTTGAGACCATTTGGATATATATTTTTAAATTCTGCATTACTCTTACATGCACACACAAAGGAAAATATAATTGAAATACATTAGTGAAGACAGTCCTAAAACGACACGTCAGGGTCCAATTTTCTGTATCACTTTTTGACTGAGAGTCATTGCTCTCTTTGTTTTTCCACCAAATATCATTTTCCATTCCATCAGAAGAAAGGGTCAAGAAATTACAGCCTGTGAGCCAAATGTAGCCCTCTACCTGCTTTTCTAAGTAGTAGTTTTATTGGAACACACCCCTGCCTGTTTGTTCACGCATCATGTATGGCTGCTTCCGTGCTGTGATGGCAGAGCTGAGTGGCAGCCAGTGAGCCTGTGTGGCGCGTGAAACCAAAAGTGCTCCCTGTCTGACCCTTCACAGAAGAAGTTTGCTGACCTCCGATCAGGAGCATAGGAGGTGCAGCATTTCCTCCAAGCGTGTGCTCTTCGTTGTTGCTTTGCAGGAAAATCTGGAGTAGTGGCCCCCCTGCAGTGGTGACTGATGAGTCAGACATCACCGTGCACTCCGTTGCTCTATTCCCAGCCTCGCTCCCTACACAACAACTTTTCGATTCAAAGCTGAAGCACAGTCTCGTTTTTTGAAGACATTTAATATGGCACCTGTCCTCCACATGTGATATTTATAAAACTTAAAGTAACAACAATCTGAACAGCTCTGACAGAGTTTGCATGAGGTCAGGCAATGACATACGTCACAATTGTGAGATGCCACTGAGCATAAGTGCATCTCTGTTTCAGGTACATTAAAATGTGGAAAGTAAACGTGCCTCTTGGAATCGCTGAGATGCTGCCACATATCTGTTTACACATCATGTATGGCTGAGATACTGCACCTGCCTCATGGGGCTGCAGGCACGTGTGGCTCAACTGGGGCATGGGTGTGAAGCCGGGCCAAGCCTGGTACATAGGAGCTGCTCAGTGTTAGTTGTCTGTGTCCACACACTGAGGTGAATTTGGTGCAGAGGCTGCCTCCTCTGTGTGTGAGGCTTGGACACAACCCCCTCCGGCCTGCCCCACTTGGGATAAAACAGCAGTGAGAAGCTCTGCAGGCACGTTGGGAAGTCAGAGGGTCAGGCTGCTGGGTCGGGGGTGAGGCATAGGCATTTGGGGAGGGGGCTACTGGGTAATGTCTTAGGATGAGCTCAGCTGCTATTTCTTTCTCCCTTACAACAAGCCATAACGATGCCAGTTAAATGCTTTCTGTTAAGGAAAGGATTGTAAAGAACTGTCCAGCTCTGCCCGTGCAGCAGGGCATCTGGAGGTGCGGGTGTGAAAGCATTGGGGGTGGGCAGCATTCGTAGCTGGACCTATAGAACCCAACCTGGGTGGTTGGCTGCAAATGGCTTTGCCTAGCACGGCCCCCTGGAAGGCCTTGGGTTGTCCAAATGCACGCGGCCTTGGAAGGAAAGCCCCAGCCTTTTGGCTCCAGGTGTGCGTCCACGAGTCAGCTGGATGAGGGTCCATGCCCGTGGTGACTCCAGCACTATGACCAGGCCTGGGTCCTCCTCTCTCTGCAGAGGGATGACATGGAGGCTGTGCCAGGATACCTGTCCCTGCACCAGACGGCTGACGTCATGACCTTGAAGTGGACTCCCAACCAGCTGATGAATGGGTCTGTGGGGCACCTGGACTATGAGAAGAGGTAGGTCACCATGTCCCTCCTCTCCCCTTGGCACAAGGAAGTGTGTACCACCCACTTGGCCCAGCCTCCCTGCGTCTGTGTCCTCATGAGTAACTCAGTGCCCCAGGAGCCTCCGGGAACTAACCAGAAGAATCTTGAGGTATGCGAATTAGGCAGAGCCCTGGTCAAAACACCACCCAGGGAAAGAAGTCTTAACCAAAGTCTTGAAAGCCTACGAATGGCAAATATTCTCCCATCTGCTGCCACCTTTCCCATCATTCAGTAAAAAGGGAGGCAGGAGGGACTGGTTGGTGGGCGTCTTGTTCAGGGCTTGGGTCCTGGGATATCCTGGGATTTGTAAGAACCAGCAAAGGCTTTGGAGGCACGCTTCAGGGAAACACGGGGGTCGGGGATTCCCTGCTGCCCTCGCTGTGTTCTAGCACAATCAGAGAAGGCCTCAGGAAGAGCAGAGGGAAGCCACCGCGCAGGTGTGGCCAGCTTGGTCATTTCAGCTGGAGGAGTCGTGGCAGCTCGTGGGGGGCAGAGGCAATGGTTTTGCTGCTCTCAGTCCACAGCTAAACCAATTTTTCTTCTACACTTTCTTGATTTCTTAAAAAGTTTTGATTGTGTAGAACTTGTAACATAAAAACATTCAGAACGTTGGTACCCATTTCCCATCCCTAACAGCCATCCACCTACCCTTTCTTCCTAGGTAATTATTCTGCAGCAGCATGGGGACATGATAGGATTTCATCTGTGAATATAGATGTGTGGACGTACATGTATGTACATCAAATAAGGGCCCTTTCCAAGGAGCATAACCAGAACACCGTATTGTGTTCTGTTTAATGGTGCACTTCAGTGTGGGTAACACCGGGCCGTCATGTGGGTACTGCCACTCTCTAAGCTGGTCATTTTCTGTGCAGAGCTTGTCGTCTGTCCTCAGACGGGGTCAGTGCGGGGCTCATAATTCGGCCCCAGCCAGACTTCAGAGTTTCTGATCAAGAAACCCTCACGGCGGAGCAGTGAGGTGCCCAGGAGATGCTCTTGGCCAGGAAGCTTATCTCAGCTTATTCATCCTAAACCTTGGCGTTGGGCCCCCCCTGGCCTCCTAGCGGAGTCTGGGTCAGACAGAGCCCTGAGTCTCCTTCGGAGCGTTTATGAAACTGCAGTCTCACGATAAACCTGTACTTACTTGTGTACCGAGTGCCTTGCTCTCCACGCCTCAGTTCCGTACAGGCGAGGAGACTGTCTTGCCCATGTCTTCTCTTCAGCACCTGCCCCAGATCATAGCACATAGTAGGAGCTCAGNCATTCATTTATTACCCGAGTAGCTACGGTGTGCTAGGCGCTGTGCTAGTGACAAGAGCAGTAGCAGAGGCATGAAAGGAGAGACAGTCGTTACCTCCTTAGAGCTCACACTGTATTCACACTCACTGGAAGACACAGGAGAGGAGCAGACGGATAAACGGGTGTGTGGGGCCAGGTCCTTGCTCGGACCTCACTCACTCCCTGGGGGACCTGGGTGGGGTACGCCACTCTCCCTCTCCGGGCCTCAATTTCCCCTTCTGTCAAGTGAGGGGGATAGACAAGATGATCTCCTTAGAACTCAAGGGCTCCCAAAGGGTTTGTGGGGGCTCCCTAAACACTGATGAGCCTTCCGCTAAGCACCAAAGCCTGAGGACCTGTTTGTTGGTTGGACTTAAGCCCCGGGTTGTGTGTGCGGGGAACTTCTGGTGCTAATGTTTCGGGAGATGCATTGGGCAAAATGATTGCCAAGCACCCCACCGCCAGCCCAAATCACTAGGGACTCTGTGCTTGGGCGTCGTCTTTTCTGCTAAGGGGAACAGAGGTGACCAACAGCTTCAGAGGCCACCCCAGTCAGTCCACCACCACACTTGTGCCAAGGCCAGGCTCCCCTTGGGCTACTTTTTGAGAACTGTAGCTCAGCCACTTCCCTACTGTTTGGACTATTTGTGAAAAGGGACATCACAGGCACTTCAATATTTACTTCCAGCTGAATCTGAATTTCCACAGTTACTGCCGATGGGGCTGGGGACTTGTGCAGACCTGGACTCTGAACCCCTATGCAGCCTTGTTACCCTCACCTGGAACCCGGGGCTCAGTGGAAGGGGAACAACCAGGGGTGAGAAATATGGGGGTTAGCATGTGGGAAAGGGGTACAGCATCTCTCTGGGGACCAAAGGACAATGAAGATAAGGGGTGTAGTTCTTGTCTGAGGAGGTTCCAGACCTCGTTTTTCCCAGCATGCCCTCCTCCTTTTACCACCAGGGCCGTAAATCCTAAAGATAATTTCGGCCAGTGAAAAGAGTTGTGCAGAGAATACAGCTGAACAGTGAGACGGGATGCTCTCGTTTGGTGTTCCGGAAAAGCCCCTTTGAAGAAATGACGTTGGAAGAGAGAACTGAAGGGGGAGGGGGAAGTATCCTTTCATTCTGGGGCCCCAGAAGCATCAAGGGCAAAGGGTCTGGGGCAGGAAGTTGCTGGGAGGAGGAGAGTGGTGGCGAGTAGGAAGTTTGTGTGGCTGAAACATGATGAATGCAGGGGAGAAGGGCAGATGAGAGCACACGCCATTTTAGATTTTTAGGAAGACTTCGACTCTCCAAGCCTCAGTTTCCCCATCTGTGAAACAGAATGATGATACCACCTTCCTCCAGTAATGGGAAGACAAGATAATACACAGGAAGCTTTTAAGGCGGCACGTGGCACGGGGCGGAAGTAAGTGGGGTGGGTGATCTTGTTGACATTCCCGGGCCACGGGCCTCTCGGCTTTTGGTCCCTACGTGGGAGATGCATCACCTGCGTGGGTGTGCGCTCCTCAGAGCAGACCCAGACACAGCGATTCGAGTGTGAGTAGTGTGGGAGGTGGTCATCATTTAGTAAAAAGGGAGGCAGGAGGGACTGGTTGGTGGGCGTCTTGTTCAGGGCTTGTGTCCTGTGATATCCTGGGATTTGTAAGAAGCAGTAAAGGCTTTGGAGGCACGCTTCAGGGAAACACGGGGGTCGGGGATTCCCTGCTGCCCTCGCTGTGTTCTAGCACAATCAGAGAAGGCCTCAGGAAGAGCAGAGGGAAGCCACCGCGCGGAGGTGTGGCCAGCTTGGTCATTTCAGCTGGAGGAGTCATGGCAGCTCGTGGGGGGCAGAGGCAATGGTTTTGCTGCTCTCAGTCCACAGCTAAACCAATTTTTCTACATTTTCTTGATTTCTTAAAAAGTTTTGATTGTGTAGAACTTGTAACATACAAACATTCAGAACTTTGGTACCCGTCTCCCATCCCTAACAGCCATCCACCTACCCTTTCTCCCCTAGCTAATTATTCTGCAGCAGCACGGGGACATGATAGGATTTCATCTGTGAATATAGATGTGTGGACGTACATGTATGTACATCAAATAAGGGCCCTTTCCAAGGAGCATAACCAGAGCACCGTATTGTGTTCTGTTTAATGGTGCACTTCAGTGTGGGTAACACCGGGCCGTCATGTGGGTACTGCCACTCTCTAAGCTGGTCATTTTCTGTGCAGAGCTTGTCGTCTGTCCTCAGACGGGGTCAGCGCGAGGTGGAGCGGGGCACATAATTCGGCCCCAGCCAGACTCCAGAGTTTCTGATCAAGAAACCCTCATGGAGGGGCAGTGAGGTGCCCAGGAGATGCTCTTGGCCAGGAAGCTTATCTCAGCTTATTCATCCTAAACCTTGGTGTTGGGCACCCCCTGGCCTCCTAGCGGAGTCTGGGTCAGACAGAGCCCTGAGTCTCCTTTGGAGCGTTTATGAAACTGTAGTCTCGCGATAAACCTGTACTTACTTGTGTACCGAGTGCCTTGCTCTCCGCGCCTCAGTTCCATACAGGCAAGGAGACTGTCTTGCCCATGTCTTCTCTTCAGCACCTGCCCCAGATCATAGCACATAGTAGGAGCTCAGACAGTCTTTGTGAAACAAAGCAAGGTGATCAGGGAACCTGGATTCATTCATTCATTACCTGAGTAGCTATGGTGTGCTAGGCGCTGTGCTAGTTACAAGAGCAGTAGCAGAGGCATGAAAGGAGAGACAGTCGTTACCTCCTTAGAGCTCACACTGTATTCACACTCACTGGAAG